GAGCTGTCGGAAAGACATAATATATAACGAGAAAGAAGTTTGAGTTTTTGTCGATCCCGTCATTTCGTTTTGGGGCCTAAACTGGGGCCCCATGAGGAGCCTGGCGCCAGAGCCGTGGACATAAAGCTTCCCAGCCCAAACTCGCTGACTCATAACAGCAGCAGATGTTGGGGGGGGGGGGCACGAGAAGACGTAAAGGCCCGACAGCCCGTCAGCTGCTTCCACAAGGGTCTCGTTTTAGCCGGACACGGACTGCGCACACGTGGAGGAAGGTGAAGAGGAATGTGAACACAAGCACAAAAGCCGGTGGGGAGCATCTCCAGCCAAACATCTGCTTCCAGTTAGCCCGGCGGGGACGGGAGGCTCTTCACTGGAGGAAAGACGAGCTCTGTGAGAAACACGTCCTTCCACGTAGCGCCGCATCTGGTCGCCCGACGCCGCGTCGGGTTCAAATAAATACGAGAGGAACTCAACGCTGCTCACCGCCGCAGATGAGTCTTTGCGTGGGAAACGCTGAGGTCACACAACTACAATGGAAAGAATTGAAATAATAGACATTAGTGCTATAGAGTGAGTGTCTGTTCGTTGGAAGTCAATCCTCATCGGTTTCCAGGTAACAATAAACACGGTGACGATTGAGCTGATCAAGTATTCACTTTGTTCGTTAACGAGATGGAGAAAACGCACCGGCGAGCGTGTTTTTGGGATGTTTCTGTTCATTCGTTCCTGAAGCGGTTGTGACCATGAATACGACTGACAGCAGCTTCATTAGGAGCACAAGAAACCAACGGATATCGTCATTGTGCATTAATTAACTAGTTGTTTGGTTTATAGAATGTAAGTTTGTTAACCTTTGTTTTCCAAAATAGCAAAAGAAAGATTTTCTCTTGTTGTTTTTTCTCTTGAAAAATAACTTGATCATCAAAATATTCATTTAACCGATGACAGCCCATCCATTCTTCTGTTGGCATCAGGGCAGATTCAGGGTCAGTTTGGCGTGACGAGTTATTGACTTTAGTAAAATGATATAAATAAATGTATAAAGTCAGAAAGGCTCCAAATCCGCTCCATAACATTTCATTAATAATTGAAAATAAGAGCTGATACGGATGCCGTGACGCATACATGTAACAATAAACCGTTATTTATTTATCTGCATGCAGTCCTTGTGGTTTGTGTTTAGATATTATGGGACGTCTGACGCTGTGCGTTGAAGGTAATTGAACAGAACACCACTAAGTGGAGGATTCATGGAGCCATTTGCTCCTCGCTGGGACGAACATGCAGCACTCATGAAGATGCTAATGCTACTCCAGGCCTCGCCCTCCGTGCCTGATGGGTAATCAGCAGAGAGCGTGATGGATGGCGATGCAGCAGCGTGGGGCACAGCAGTGTCAGACTTCAGCTACCGATCCAATTAACATCGCTGATTACATCGAGAGGAGAGACAATAAAACGCTGCGGCGTTTCTTCTCTCATCCACATACGCTGCGTTTTCACAACTTCCCTCAGTGTGCTAAAGCAAAGCGACCTAATTGTTTAGTGAGGGTCTTAACTTCCCACCTGGGTTAGATTAACGTTTTATAGGGAGATCACAGAGACCCGTTATGACGTCACGATGACGTCCTGCACTGATTTTGTATAACAATCCGGGATCACAGACCCCCCGGCTCCAACGCCACAGCGCCCGGTCCGCCTCACAGCCCGTGGGAATCAACACCAGCTCTCAGGGGGAACCCGATCCCGGCGACCCGCCTCGTCTCCCAGCCCGATCTTTTAAACCCCTCCTGGCAGAAGAAGAAGTCACACAAAGTGATTCACACGTGTTGCTTTTTCCGGTGTGATCGGTTATTATTTGCGGCTTGTTGACTCTGGCGTCTGGCAGCTTTGTACTAAGCAACGCCTAAATTAAGGTGGGGGGGTGAACCCATGTGAACCCAGCACCGTCAGATAATTACAGCAGAGGCTTCAGTTAAATGATCAGTGTGGGACATTTTAACTGGCTGGCCTTATTTATTGTTTATTGGTTCACATGTTTTCTTCCAAGTCAGTGTTTTTCAACCTTTTTTGCGTCAAGGCACACTAGAGACACCGAAAAAAATCTCATGGCACACCAACAACCGGAAATGATATGAAAGTCAATCCCAAACATAGTTTCAGCATGAGCATAATATACTCTGATAAATCAGGGAAACGCGTGTTCCATTTGTTGTGTTTTATTAAACTTAACATGCATCCTAATGCCAAGATGGCACCGGCTTTATGCCCAGGTGTCTCTTAAGCCTGGTTTATGCTTCTGCGTTTTCAGAGCGACGCAGACGCAAGACGCCCTTCGCGTGTGTCGAGACATTTTTCTAGGCTTGTGTCGAAAGCGCCGCAAGCAACGCAAGCCTCCCGCAGCGCACCAGGCTGCGATTGGTCCGCTAACCGCGTCCTTTACGGAGTCTCACATTTCCGCTTTCACAGCCCGACGCCGCCATTATTAAAACTAAGAATGTTTACGAGAGAAACGGATCAGATTTAAGAACTTTTGTCCGAGGAAATGTGCAAATATGAGCGCAAATATGGGCGCTTATACGAGCCGTCATTGGCGGGTTGTAGAAGCGGGTTGGATTCACGGAGGGAGATCGCCGCAAAACATGAGCCGGCCTTAAATCTCACTTTTTTAAATTGTCGCCTCAGCAAATCTGCCTATTAATTACGCTGCGTAGCGCCACCCACAGGCAGAGGGAAGTATTGAGCCTCCATACCACCAACAGCGCGACAACACACACACACACAAACACACAAGTTGGCTCTTTTTTTTTTTTCACCAATGAAGTGACAGTATGTAAAAAATGATTTTTTTTCACGGCACACCGGTGTGCCGCAGCACACTGGTTGAAAAACACCGCTCTAAGTGGAGTCGAGTGGGATTCCCACGTCTCCCAGTTATGAAAAGCCTCATTTGAGGCTCACATTGTAACGTCCCGACCCGAGTGGAACACGAGAGAAGAACAGACACGGCCCTGTTTTCCCGTGGTGGTTTTGACTTGTGCAAAGATAAATGGTGGTTGTTGTTGGTGGTGGTGGTTGCCATGGTGACAACAGCCGTCAGCGGGGCGAGAGACGCGTGGACAGACGGACCCGGCGGCTCCCCTCATTAGTGGCATTGCAGCGGCTGTGAGGAAGCTTAGCTAGCGAGCTGTCCGCGGGTTTCCGAGCCAGCTTTAGCTTTAGCGTGGCATTACGGAGGAGGAGCCGAACGACGGCGTTCCCGTTGATCGCTGCGTTCTTTCCTTCGCCGGGAGAAGAGCGTCAAACACATGTAACTATGACCTCATGCAGAAGAGGGAGAGTCATTTTCACATAGACTTCTATGGGAGCGGAGGAGTCGCCCCCTGCTGGTTGCTGCAGAGAATGCAGCTGGCTCAAACAGCAGAAACAAGCAGGCGGCAAAAGCTCAGTGGAATGACTGGACGCACACACACACACACACACACACACACACACACACTCTGAGGACAGCGCTCTGAAGTGGAACTCATGTTTACCAACTTGTGTTTGTGTTCACTGAATTACGCAAGGCGCCCTGCGCCTCCCGGGTCTCCACGCGACTGCAGCCGGCATCGACCCCCTGAGGGGGGGATCAGAGTCTGAAAATGCTCCCAGCAGACCCCGCCTGGTGTTTTACCGGCTCCCGTAGGAGGGATGCGGCTCATCGTGGGTCCTAGTGATGGACGATCGAAGAGCGTTTTACTCACTCGGTTCGTTGAATCTCGTTCAGTAAAACGAACAAATCTTGTTTCGAGTAATTCGTTCATTTAAACGGGGGGTGGGGGTAACGGTGTGGTGTAACAGTGATCCAGCGAGTTTCCAGGATGAATGAAGCGAACTCACGGGGGAGTCAAAGACTACCCGGCAGATGAACGAATCGTTCACCGACCGTGTCTTCGGACCAATGACTCGTCATCTGCCGGGTACGAGTCTTTGGATCATTCTTCACGTGACCTGCATGGGCTCAGCAGTACCCAGTCGGTAAATGAACGAATCAATGAACAAATCATTTGTTTCCTTGACTGAGCCAACGCAACAGTCCCAATGCGCGGCCACGAGGAAATGAACGAATCTCCTCTGAGAGGACTCGTTACCCCAGAGTTCAAAACGGACGAATCGTTCACCAACAACACATCACCAATGCGTCCTTTTACCTCCCTCTGGCACGCCAACGTGAACGCACCGTAACGCAACGTCCATCACCGCGCACAACCACACAATCTCACCCGGAGAAATCCCTCCCCAGTGTGTGGGGAGACCCTTGAACGAAGCGCCAGAGGAGCGACGGGGTTCAAGCGCAGGTCACCTTGCCGGGGCCGTGCAGCGCGGATGAGGGTTTTTAAAAGCCAATGAACACAACCATATTTTTAGTTTTAAGATGTTTAATTAATATGATCTTTATTTTCACTGTCACAGAACCCTGTGGTATTAAATATTAGGTGTTATAGCCCTAATTACACTGTGATTAAATTATTTGTGTGTAACATTGCATCTGTGTCATCTGTCTGAAGAGGATCCTTTTGAGTTTCTCCTGATGTTCAATGAGGGTCTGAGGACAAAGGACGTCCTGCTGTGCAGATTCCAATCGATTAGATGTCATTGCTCCACAAGGCATTAATGACTCACGAATAATCCCATAAAGAGGGACAGACTAAATAAAGAACCACCTTAAAAGCAGCCCGCTGTTTTAGGGGGTATTTTTAGTTGCGCCGGGCGGGTAAAACAGACGGTCCACGGCGGCAAGTTCTGTCCTTCACAGGTGATTTCAATATTGACAAATTGCTGCTATTCAACCTGTAGCGCTCACGAGCCGCGGGGTGACGACACGAAACGCGCGTAAACAAACGCGCAGGTGTGCTAACCGCCGCTAGCCGCGGGAGGACGTCCGGAGCTAGCGGCGGCGCTTGCGGCGGAGCGCCGCCCGGCCGGAGGGTCACTGTGGCGGGTCATCGTCTCGCACTCACCCCTCGCTGGTGGACGGCGCGCAACTTCTCCCCCCCGGTGTCGCTCTACCGGCGCCGGTTCATCGCGCCGCTAACGGAGAGGAGGGTGTGAGGACGACTGGGGGGGGGCGGCTGGAACGGTCGTTGTCTGCGGTCCTGTTATTTAATCCCCGGGGGCTGATAACCGTTATCTGCCCTTCGTCTCCGGCCCGTCCGTCACCGAGCGGAGCCGGCTGTCCGCCGCGCCGCCATCTTGGTTTGTGATGGGGATCCGACGCGCGTGCACGTCCCCCTCTACACGCGCACCCCACGTCACAGGTAGCTTCTCTCTGCGCGACGAGAGTCTCTCTATTATCCAATCAGTTTATCACGCATTCTTCTTTTCACGCGGCCCTATTTCCGATCCTCTTATTGAACGATATAGTTTGTAAAAGCACGTTTGCCTACAACAACGTGTTTGTGTTATTATAAATGATTATTGGTTATATTCCAATGTGCATTGAAACCCATTGAATGGCCAGGAAAAAAAACGTAAAATGCAGACAAAGTTCTAAATGGTGGATTTCCTGTTTAAGGGCATGACCCAAATTACCCTTTTAAGTCTAAATGTGCCTAACGTGGTAAATCTCGATCACAGGTACCGCGGGGCTTTATTGAGCAGACTTGCCACTATAGTAGCTTTAAAATGCCTCAAGATTGCTAAATGTAGAGCTTCTGTGTGTGAAAAGGTCGTGAAAAGTCGAAATATGTTGGAAAATGCTTTTTTTAAAAGTATAGAAAATATTCGGTAAAAAACTGTTTTGAAAATATATTCCAAATATGTTGGGTAAGAAAATACCTTTTTAAAAGTCAAAATATGTTTGGTTGTAAAATGTTTTTTTTAAAAGTCTAGAAAATATTAGGTCAAAAAGTGACATGGAAAAAATAATATGTCAAAAATATTAGGTCTAAAAAAGGTTTTAAAAAATACAAAAGCTAGGCTGAAAAAGTTTTATGAAAAAATATTAAGTCAAAAAATGTTTGGAATTTATATTTATATAACATAATTAACATTTTTTTTTAAAAAGAAAATCAAAATATGTTGGCTCAACAAAAAATGAAAAAGGGGTTTAAAAATCTGGTAAAAAAATAATACAAATATTTTTTTAAAATCAAGAAAATTAACATGGAACAAAAGTTTTAAAAATTAGGTCAAAAATATTTTGATAGAAAAGTCTAAATTATACAAAATTGTCATGGAAGACAAGGTTAAAAAATAAAAAAGCTAAACATTTTTTGTCGGTGAATGTCATGGACAAAAGTGAGTTTTAAGTTTGGAAAATAAAATGGCAGCTTTACGATACTAACCTAAAGTTTTACTTTCAACAACAGCTAAATTCTGTTTATTTGAATTCTGGCTGCACAGAGGGAAAGAAAACGGTTACAACTTTGCTATGAATGCGCTGGACATCTTTTATTTTTCACCATCATGAATCGTGGATATGAGGTCATGCTTCAATGATAATAACTGTTAAACTAGTGCCGGATTTTCCGACTCGATGGTGACGACCTGGAAAAGTGTTTGTTCAAAATAGACCAGCAGGACAGTTAAATAAACCGAATATTCTCGACAGGATGAAGTGTGTGTGTGTGTGTGTGTGTGTGTGTGTGTGTGTGTCTTCAGAGGCGTCCACGCAGCAGGAACATGAGGAAGACGGCACTGAGGAGGATGCACAGCGTGCACACGGTGGGAACCACGATCTCCGTCACCATCTCCATGTGGCCGATCAGCGGATCTGAGACCCAAACCACAGAAACGTGAATTTAGATCAGTGGGAAACCCGATCGGATTATTGATCAGTGTGTTTGCACATGTGAGCACTTCAGCAAAGGTGAGTGGTGCCAAACACCAAATAGAATATTGTGTGGATTTGTGAATATGTTTACAGCCACTGTTGCATTACACATTTATTCAGTATTCCAAATATTTAGAAATAAAATAATATAAAATACATCCAAACTGTTAATTAAAGGGTCAAGTGTATATATTAATATTTCATATATTTATATATAAATGACGGGACCTTTAAAATGTTCAATACGAGTCATGCAGCTCATAGATATGTGTTATCATTTATGTATCTACTACTGAGTGTATTTGTCTTTTCAAAATTGGTTGAGTTGCTTTTTGAACTCAAAGCCTTATATTTTATTTTATTCCTCGTGCACTGTTGTCTTGTCGTACTGTCTGCTGTTACGCATGTCTGACATGTTATGGTGATAAATGTTTCCTGATTCCTGATTCCAAAGGACAAAACACGTTAAATGTATTTAAGTAGCATCAATCTCAATAATAAGTAACAATATCTTATTCATAGTAAAAACAATAATAAGAGTAGTAATAATAATAATAATAGTGATGATAGTAATTACAATAATAACAGTAACAATACTAGTAATGATGGTAGTAATAATATAATAAAAATAGTAATAATAATAATAGATATTTAATTCTATTCATTTATTCATATTTAAATGTTAATTAATTTGTCAGGTTTAATCATTCTTTGTTAAGTTGCTCTTTGAATTCAGAATGAAGAAGCATTGATCTCCCTCAGAATAATACAAATATTATCAATATAAATAATATTAGTAATAATAATAAAAGAACAACTGTTGTACCTAAACTTCATCATGCACTGGCCAAGCCTGATCGCGACCCCCCCGGGGTTCTCTTCTAGCTGGAGGGGCGAAACAAAGAGTGAAGAACAAGCTTGAGACAGACTCTTCCTTTGTTTGGCCCCCGCCGAGCTACGTCACAGCTACGTCACCTCGTCTCCTACTCACCCGCGGCCAGCAGCTGGTTGCTGGAGGAGCAGGTCTCCACGGCTTTCCTCTTCCAACTCTCCACCTGCGGAGAGAGAGGTCAATGAATCACCGCGTGCTCCACCATGTGCTCCATCATGTCCTTCATACCATGTCCTCCACACCATGTGCTCCATCATATCCTCCCCACCACGTCCTTCACACCATGTCCTCCACACCATGTCCTCCACACCATGTCCTTCACACCATGTCCTCCACACCATGTCCTCCACACCATGTCCTTCACACCATGTGCTCCACCATGTTCTCCACACCATGTCCTTCACACCATGTGGTCCACCATGTTCTCCTCACCACGTCCTTCACACCATGTCCTCCACACCATGTCCTCCACACCATGTCCTTCACACCATGTGCTCCACCATGTTCTCCACACCATGTCCTTCACACCATGTGCTCCACCATGTTCTCCACACCATGTCCTGCACACCATGTGCCCCATCATGTCCTCTACAACATGTCCTCCATCATGTGCTCCCTCATGTCCTCCACACCATGTCCTTCACGCCATGTACTCCATCATGTCCTCTACAACATGTCCTCCACACCATGTGCCCCATCATGTCCTCTACAACATGTCCTCCATCATGTCCTCCATCATGTGCTCCCTCATGTCCTCCACACCATGTCCTTCACACCATGTCCTCCACACCATGTCCTTCACACCATGTCCTCCACACCATGTCCTCCACACCATGTCCTTCACACCATGTCCTCCACACCATGTCCTTCACACCATGTCCTCCACACCATGTCCTTCACACCATGTGCTCCATCATGTTTTCCACACTATGTCCTCCATCATGTCCTCCACACTATATGCGCCACTATATGCTCCACCATGTGCTCCACCAGGTGCTCCATCAGGCGCTCACCTCTCTCTGGTTGGGGAAGCCGTTGGAGCTGATGATGCGCTTGTAGAAGTGCACGGAGGCCTTCGGGTAGCGCGGCTTGGTTTTGCTCCTGAAGTCGACGTAGTAGAGTCCGAATCGCTCGGAGAAGCCCTCGTCCCACTCAAAGTTATCGAGGAGGGACCAGGCGGTGTAACCCTTCACGTTCACCCCGTCCTTCACGGCTTTGAGCATCTCATTGATGTAGTCTTTGAAGTACTGCATCCTCCAGTCGTCACAGAGGTCGGTGCAGAGCATCTTCTCCGACACGCCGTTCTCCGTCACGTGTATCATGGGGTTTCCATACTGCATCTGAGAGACAGAGTCACATTCAGGGTGGAGTTCACACTGATGCGTATCGTTACATACTCCATAACTCACCTATTTGTCAAGTATCACTTGTATTTATGTATATGTATATATATATATACAGAGCTGGAGCTAGTAGGCCATTAGCTTAGCTTAGCATAAAGACGTGAAGTGGAGAGATTTAGGTACCCTTGTTCTCTTTAGTGTTCAATGGTATTTACGCAGAAAAACCTAAACCACACATCGCATTGCATTGAGTTTGTTTTAAATCCATCAATTGATTCTATTGAATATTGAATTTTTTTATTTTATTTCAAATGAATGAATAAATCTTTTACGTTGTTTATTCTGTACACATGCGACCTCCTCCTCCTTTGGAAAACTCCCCCTGAGAAAAAATAATAAACCTGAAGGAGAGCGACAGAGGAGGGATATAATATAATATGATCATATATGATAACCCTCTGTCAGGATGACAGTGTTCTGATAGATGTGTGCGGATTGTCCTCGGTTTACAATTGGTGACCCTACAAAATAAAGTGAACTTTGTCACCTTGACAAAGTTCAATAAGCGCCTGAAGCCCCAGGGAACCGAGTAGAGCCACTCGGAGCCCGGGTCCGGCCACCGCGGGTCCACCAGCTCGGCCAGGTCGCGGTCGGCGAAGTAGCTGTCCCCGAGGCCCGACGGGTAGTTCTTCAGGGTGACGTAGCGGGTGGTGAAGTGCCCGAGGCCCAGGAAGTCGGAGGTTCCCTTGATGTAGCTCTTCTCCTGAGGCGAGAAGACAGGCAGCCGCGAAGCTCCCAGGCCCTGCTGGCCGCTCTTCCTGCCTGGGGGGTTCAAAGGTCAGGGATGGTGAGCCACTTAAAGACAGGGTCTGACCTAAAGTGTTAAGAGGTAGGAGTTTCATGTATAACTAAAAATACAAAAGAAGAAATCCTTTAGCTGAGCATGATGACTGAATAGATTGTAAAACCTACAAATGTAATCATGAAGTGAAGGTGCAACAAAGTCCTGAACTTCTGCTTCTTTGATATCTTCATCAAGTGAAAAGTCTGACTGTACTCATGAGACGTTATTGTGAAGAGCTCTCGTCGGCCCTCGTTTCCCTGAGATGCCGCGGCGGAGACGCACCGATGTAATCCTTCATGACCTGAGGGTAGTCGCCGCTGAAGATGGGAGAAGCAAACCACCCCAGGTAGAACTGGATGTATCTCTCCGCGGCCTCGATGTCCCTCTGGTTGGTGATGTCCACCGGCTCCCCCCAGTCAGCCGTGAGCGAGATCCCAACCAGGCCTGCACACGCACACGCACACACATCTTATCTTTTGACTTCAGTCACACATAAAACACATTTCAAAATAAAATCTTTTTCTTTTCGTACCTTTTTGTCTGCTTCGCCACTTCATGTCGTACGTGTGCCACACTTGGGCATGAGCCTGTTTGAAGGTTTAGTATTGTTACATTTAGAGACATTAAATCACACACAGATAAAAACGTAGGGGATTTATGTCCTTTGGCGTCATCGGTCAAAGACCTCAAAGAAGCACGAGTTCATGATTTTTTTGCACTTCTTAGAATACATTTCTACTTAAGATTTAATGACTAAAGTTATAACATTTGGTTCATGAAAAAACAAAATGTAATTGAGGCTTATACGATCAATAAATTTCCCCCGTATTGCCAAATATTATAAAAAAAATCATGTCAAACAGGCAAAGAAGAAAATACTCCTTGAATGTCTCATCACTTATTCAAATGATTTTGTTTTTTGTATTGTGCAAATGTAACTATTCAAGGTTCGGTCACTGACAGTAGAAATGTGCTGCAGTGTAGACGATGTATGTATGTATGTATATATGTATGTATGTATGTAGAGGAATGAAGTGGACTGAACGCAACTGAGGGGGATTGAAGTAGACTGGACTGAAGTGGACTGGCCTGAAGTCGACTAAAGTGGACTGTAGTGGCCTGAAGTGGACTGAAGTGGACTGGGTCTTTCACACCTTGATGATGTGATGAGCCGCTCTGTATGCTCCCGTTCCTCTCAGCTTCAGGCCGGGTGCGTGCTCCCCGGTTTCATACCCCTCCACCGCGATGGACTGGAACCACGAGAAGCCAAAACGTCACCCCTGTTCTCACAAAGCCCCCCCCCAAAAAACCCCCAGACCCCTCAGACCCTCAGACCCCCCAACCTACCCACGGGTTGTTGAAGGTGATCCAGTACTTCACTCTGTTCCCGAATCTTTGGAAGCACAGGTCGGCGAAGTCGTTGAAGTAGTTCACCATGCTGGCGTTCTGCCAGCCGCCGTACTTCTCCTGCAAGACCTGCAGGGGGTAGCGAGGGGTGGGGGGGGTGGGGGGGGGGGGGCGTTAGCATTGCAGCCTGTGAGAGCACAGAGACACGACGGGGTGGTGGGGGCTCACCTGTGGTAGATCCCAGTGGTACAAAGTAACGACGGGCGTGATCTGATTGTCCAGCAGCCTGTTGATCAGGTCCTCGTAATATTTGATTCCTCTCTCGTTGAGCTCAGCTGACGGATTGAAGCCTCATCATCAACACTAATCATCAACACTAATCATCAACACTCATCATCAACACTCATCATCAACACTCACCATCCACAGTCATCATCAACACTCATCAACTATCATCATCAACACTAATCATCAAAACTAATCATCAACACTCATCATCAACACTCATCATCAACACTCACCATCCACAGTCATCATCAACACTCATCATCAACTATCATCATCAACACTCATCAACACTCATCATACACACTCATCATCAATTATCATCATCAACAATCATCATCAACACTCATCACAACACTCATCAACACTCATCAACTATCATTATCAACACTCATCAACACTCATCATCAACAATCATCACCAACACTCATCATCAACTATCATCATCAACACTCATCAACTATCATCATCAACACTCATCACCAACACTCATCACCAACACTCATCATCAACACTCATCATCAACTATCATCATCAACACTCATCACCAACACTCATCATCAACACTCATCAACTAATCATCAACACTCAACATCAACTATCATCATCAACAATCATCATCAACACTCATCACCAACACTCATCACCAACACTCATCATCAACACTCATCATCAACACTCAACATCAACTATCACCATCAACAATCATCATCAACACTCATCACCAACACTCATCATCAACACTCATCAACTAATCATCATCAACACTCATCAACACTCATCATCAACTATCATCATCAACACTCATCATCAACTATCATCATCAATTATCATCACCAACACTCATCACCAACACTCATCATCAACACTCATCATCAACTATCATCATCAACACTCATCATCAACTATCATCATCAATTATCATCACCAACACTCATCACCAACACTCATCATCAACACTCATCATCAACACTCATCATCAACTATCATCATCAACACAAGGTGGAATTCAAGATGATCAAATGTGTGTAGTTTTGTGTTTAAAACAACATTAGCAGTTAAACAACAGTGTCTAAAATACACACTTTCTAAAGAGATTACTCAAAAACAAACATTCATTTTAAACAATATTCTAACAACAACAACAACAACATGTGCAATGAAACAGTTTAAATTATTTTTAATGTATTGACATCCCTAGTAATTATTGACTATTTCTTTCCTTTTTGAAATGTCAATTAATTGTGAAAAACAATTAATATAATATGTTGGAGCCTTTGGTGATGTATTATGAGTTAAAACCATTTAGAAAAGTTATAGAAGCAACACTGGGATCAGCAAATTAAAATCAGTGTGACTATTTAGGTTATTGATTTAAATTTTCAATCATTTTGAATACTGATTTCAATCACAAGCCACTAAAAAGGTGAAAATGGTGAAAAACCATGATTACTTTTCTGTCCGCTTGGTAAAATCCTCGGCCAGGAAATGGAGAACCGATAATGGTTCAGTTTCATGTCCTTCATCAAGGTGATGTCATCCTGCAAAACAAACCACAAAGACACGTTCTAAAGATCAAACAAACGCACACTGAACTTTATTTTAATAAATAATTCAACTTTTTGGCTTTCTTGCTGAGAGTGAGATATAGAGAGAACGGCAATTAGCTTAGCTTAGCATAATGACTGTAAACAGAGGGAGCAGCTAGCATGTCTCCCTCCAATCTGGCAACCAGCTCGCTAAGGACCACCATACCTCTTGGTTAGAGCTTTTATTTTATAAACATTGTGTGTAGATAAATAGAACAGGAGACAATCAAACCGATGAAGCCGTTTTGTCCGAACAGCGGCCGTCTTTATTTGTACTGTTGCCCTGGCGACCATCGTAGCGGACCTTTGTTCTGGAGAAGCTTGGTGGAATGAGCAAACTAGCCAGCCAATAAATGAGTCATTTTAAACAAACCACTTTCATCCCTTCGTAGAAAATACAACTTTGCTCATTCTCTGTAACCAATGTAGCATTTAGCACAGTGGAATTAGCAAACTTGCAACCTAACTAGTGGACAACTCACTACTTATTTCATTCTACCCAAAGGTCACATTTAGATTTCTCAAAGATTAACCCATGCAAGTGTAAGTACACACGGA